ATGTCTTATATGTTGAAACTAGACCTTAGATACTCACCAGTTGGAGAGAGAGTGTGTTATTATACTCGGATCAGGGCGAAGCCCTAGCCACAGTAGGTGACCAGTTGTCAACGCTCTGGCTATACTAGCTAAGTCTTTTTGGACTTCTTCCCGAGTCGCCAGCGGCCACTCGAACGCCCACGAGTCACGAGGCTCTTTTATCTCACCCGCGTGCGACTCGCTACGTCGCAGAATTCATGCTTCAGACAGGTCTTCTAGGGCAATTCCGCCACTGTGACGTGGAGCCAGAGCCCGTGGAAGACGACGAAACAACTGGCCAGAATTGACTGGCATGGACAGGTGGCGAAGACGCTGCGTATTACGAATCAAGACGCTTCTGATCACCGAGAGATCAGAGGAACCGACAGCATAACCAATACGAACGCCATCGAAGAAGCAGGAGGTGTACGAGCCAGAAGCGCTGGCAGGGGTGGATATGGAGCAGAAGCAGGTTGTGGGCTTGATATATATTACTGGGGGATTGGACTCGATTTTGTGGGATTACTTGGATTACCTGTACGGGCAGACGCCCTTTTCTTTTGTCTCTAGTCATCTTCTGCGTGGAGTTACTGGCGTACGGACATATTCTTGCTTCTGACGGAAGAAGCGCCTACATTACCACGGCGATGACTAGCTAGGTAGCATTAGGTTAATAGAATATCATCATCATCATCATCATCATCATTAGGCTTCGGCAATGGGCCCCCATTTTTCAAATTCCAGGGCCCGGCCCAACCCAAAAAATATATGCCCCCATATGGGCCCCCATATGGGGGCCCATGGGCCCATTTTTCCAAAATTGATGCCTGATTTTGCCTGATTTTGCCTAATTTCTGCCTGACTTTGCATATTTTTTGCCAAGACCTTTTTTTAATTACAGTCTGTTCCGGTCTGTATATGTATGGCAACCACGTTTCCTCCTATATTCCACTCTACCTATTGTAATTATATGTAATATAGCTTAATATAAGCTTATTATACTATATTACTCTAGATTGCCCTATATTTAGGGTGGCTAGGTATAATATAGGGTGGTAATTTTTGAAGTGGTTGATTTTCTATGCTGATGGGGGAGATATATATATGTAGAACGTGCAGCTTCACCACCTTACCAACCACATATCTAGGTCTTCGCCCTAACCACCCTTTATATATATAATTTAAACAAAGAATAAGCTACTATATAAAGTAATAACCTTATATATAAGCTTAAAAGCTCTATTTTAACTAGTTCAGGTGGGAGTTCTATAGAAATACAGGTTGATCAAACTGGTGTTCCTGATTATACAGCGCGCGGGTAAGACCACCATAGCAGCAACCAGTCAGAGCTATAGAACTAGACCCGTATATAATATCCGACCAATCGGGTTCTAGAAGTAATATCTTCAAAAATCCTTTCATCCCAGCTCTCTCTCAGCTCTATATGCCCAGCATGTCAGAATTAGGGTTTCCAAACCCTCTCCAGAGCGATCCAATTGCTCCATCTGATTCAATATCAACGTTCTACCCCACCCAGAGCACCCTACCTACCCCAAACGACCTATCCACCCTAGGTACCCTACCTGATGGAATTCCGCAGTTTTCCACGCCAAAAGCAGGAAATTATGCTATATGGTCCCAAATCAACCATAATAGCTTCCTAAAATGGTGGAAAACCACCCTAAATGGGTTAAAGGATATCAAACCATCTCTGAATTGGGCAAAACATGGAAATTCAATGATTTGGTCCCATATTGAGCAGATTGCAGAAGTTCAGACCGGACTACCAAAAGTACGCTGTATAGCATGTAATATGCTATTTAACCACCCTAATTGGAGTAATAGTGGAGGGTCTATTAATGGGACCTCTACTATTCGTCGTCATGTTGAGAAAGCCTGTAAGTCTAGGGTTATTAACCCTAGCCAGACTTCAATTGAGAGTAGCTTTGCCTTTGCTACAGTAAGCCCGCTACCCCACTACCCCACTACCCCACTACCTTATATCATATATATCACATATATTATATATACTAACCCTAGCTAGGAAATTCAGTCAAAGCAGTATATTACCTATCAAGTATGGTTCAAGCTGCTTATGAACTTCTTTACCACCCACCACCTGCCTTTCAATATCTTGAACAGTCAGCAATTCAAGGCCTTTATAGAAGGAACGGCCCAGCTTGCTTCGGTCCCATCTATACCTTCCCCTCGAACCTTATCTCGTCGCCTACGAGATGAAAGCTTGAATCAACAAATAACCGCTTTAAGCACGCTTCCAGAAGGTTCTAAGCTCTCGATTGCCCTAGATTGCTAGACATCTCCATACTCCCAATCTTATCTAGCTATCACAGGCTATTTTCTAGACCTAGACTGGCACTATAGAGAGGTCCTGCTAGGGTTTGAACCCCTATATGGCCCCCATTCAGGTAAGTCTAACCCTAGGCACCCTATATCATATAGCTCTATATCATAAAGCTCTATATCATATAGCTCTAGACTAATATATGATATATCTATATCTAGGCGCCAATCTTGCACGTATGCTTACCCCAATACTGGAAAAGCATAATATATCAGACCGGATCATGGCTATCACCACAGACAACGCTTCAAACAACAAGACTTTGATCTCATCTCTTTAAGAACTTCTTCAAGATGCTTATCCAGAGACCTCGATTCCTCGAGTCCCTTACATAGCATATATGATCCAGCTATCCTTGAAGTAGCTACATGGGATGATTAGGGTTGACCCTAAAAATGACAATATCGAGCTAGTCTGGTCTGAAGATCTCCAAAAGCATAAGGAAATCAGCCAGATGACTGGTATTGCTCGTACACTACAGAAGGTACGGAATCTAGCGGTCTATATCAACGCAAGCCCACAAAGACGGGATGATTTCTAGGCAGAACAGGCAAAAGATGGGATGAAAGACCCGCTTTACCCTATCTAGGACGTTCGGACTCGATGGAACTCAACCTTTCTAATGCTAGAACGAGCTATTCAGATCAGACCAGCTCTAGATAGCTATTGTAAGCTATTCTAGGGTAAAATGCGTATAAGATCAGATGAATGGCGTCAAATCACCTATCTTTTGCATATTACAAAGCCTTTCTTTGTCTTTACTACTGCATTATGTAAGACAAAGGATATCACTATATATAGTGTATTCAATGTCTATAATGCTTTATTCCAGCATATCGAGTCTTCTATTACTAAGCTTCAGCAAAAGAAGGTATGTTTAACCTATATAAGCTTATATATAGGTTATATAAGCTTATATAACCCTATATAACCCTATATTACCCTATACTAACTATATAACTCTAGCTTTTATAGAAACAAGACATGCTTTTAGCTCTACAAGCAGCTGAATCCAAGCTTCGAGAGTATTACTCTCAGACCATAGACCCGGCCCTAGGCAGTATATATGCACATGGAACGATCCTTGCCCCGCAATATAAGCTTTAATTCTTTCAATCTGAAGAGTGGGAAGATGAGACGATTGATTATACCGAGGTCTATAGATCAAGCTTGCAGGATCTGATTAGATCTTATCAACAAGATGACCCGATCTCGAGTCCCCAAGCCCGGAGATATATAGCTATAGAGCTAGCGGTCCAGTCTATGATGCCTCTAAAAGCTAGCATATTGCCTACGTAAGTAGATGAGCTAGGAGATTACCTTTAAGCTGGTACGTTAAGTCTATATCTATATATCAGATATCTATAGCCTAACCTAACCACCCTTTACTAACCTAACTAGGGCTAATTAATGAGGAACCCTATATCTTCTGGCGGAATAATTAGACTAAATACCCCACCCTAGCTCGGATAGCTCGAGATCTCTTCTCTATTCTAGTAACTGGTGCTGGTGTAGAGCGCCTATTCAATATAGCACGTGATATATGCCACTACCGGCGTGGCAGGCTAAGCACTTCTACTATAAAAGACCTTATGGTGTATAATCGCACTATAAAGTTTGATATAGATACAGAAGAGCTGACTCAGCTAGTCCAAAATCTTGAGATCGAAGAGGAGGCGGGATTAAAGGACTTAGAGACTCGAGTATTACTCAAGGATATCAATGATATCGAGGATCTAGATCTAGATAGCTTAGGTGAGGAAGAGTAGCTAGCCCTAATTCGGCAGCCTAAGAGACCAAGGGAGGTTTCATCCAAAGATTCTTCAGATGAAAGGTCAGATGATGGAGAACTGCCTTCAATTAGGGTTTCTAGAAGGGCTAGAGCTACTAGGCAGACACGGGATGAAGTAGAATGGGCGTATCACTGATTGATAAGATTGATTATGCGTGCTTTGATTGATTATACGTGCTTTTCTTGATTATATAGGTGCTAGGGTGTTAGGGTGGCTTATAGGCCTTGCTTTTGTATATAAAAATCACAAAAAAAATTGAAAAAACAAGGTAGAACCATGGGGTTCATACCTTTAAAAGCTAACTTTATATTGTCTATGTGTAATATATGAGGTATTTAAAGTGGTATTTTACCCCTCCAAAACTAATATTTCTACATATTTTATGAAAAATACACATAATTTAGACCCATAAAAATGGGGGCAAATGGGGCCCCATCAATGGGCCCGGCCCCATTTCAAAGGCAAATGGGGGCCCCATTTCAACCCCACCCCACCCCAACCCCAACCCCAACCCCAAGTGCCGAAGCCTACGTGGGGCCATAGGGGTAGCGTTGGCGCTTCTGCCCGCTCGTCCCGTGCTCGTCCTCCTATTTTCTCCTACGTATATTATAGGAGGGGCTTATGCTGTTATTATCTATCGGGATCTTGCCCGTGATAACCGTGATATGGGTTTCTTAGAGGCAGGTCGGCCGCTTTTAGTGTATCTCCGCTTGCTTTCGCCCACTCGGTCTCTTATCCAGGGGTTCTTCGAGGATGGTGTTCAAGCGTTCCTTGATTCTCCGCGTTTCCTTCGTGCTTTGGCTCGCTTGCCTTCTCGCTTTATAAGGGTAACTACTCTTATGCGTCCGCTTATGTTATAGCTTAGAGTATCTCTAGGGCTTCTTCCTAAGCCTCCTGCTTCTATTCCTATTAGGCTTCGGCAATGGGCCCCCATTTTTCAAATTCTAGGGCCCGGCCCAACCCAAAAAATATATGCCCCCATATGGGCCCCCATATGGGGGCCTATGGGCCCATTTTTTCAAAATTAATGCCTGATTTTGCCTGATTTTGCCTAATTTCTGCCTAACTTTGCATATTTTTTGCCAAGACTTTCTTTTTAATTACATCTGTTCTGGTTTGTATATGTATAGCAACCACTTTTTCCTCTATATTCTACCACACCTATTGTAACTCTATGTAATATAGCTGAATATAAGCTTATTATACTATATTACCCTAGATTACTTTATATTTAGGGTAGTTAGGTATAATATATAGTGGTAATTTTTAAAGTGGTTGATTTACTATATTGATGGGGGATATATATATATGTAGAACGTGTAGCTTCACCACCATAACAACCATATATATACATCTCCACCCTAACCACCCTTTATATATAGTTTAAATAGAGAAAAAGCTATATTATAAGGTAAATACCTTATATATAAGCTTATAAGCTATAAATTACCAAGGGCTATATTAGATATTGTAATTAAAGTGGTATTTTACCCCTCTAAAACCAAATTTTCTGCATATTTTATGAAAAATACACATAAATTTAGACCCACTAAAATGGGCCCAAAATGGGGGCCCAAATGGGCCCGGGCCCATTTTGAAGGCAAATGGGGGCCCATTTTCGGGCCGGGCTCAGCCCGACCCATTGGGCCCGGCCCATTTGCCGAAGCCTAATTCCTGTGCGGTTCTACTAGGCTTCGGCAATGGGCCCCCATTTTTCAAATTCTAGGGCCCAGCCCAACCCAAGAATTTTTTGCTAGGCCCATGGGGGCCCATGGGCCCCCATTTTTGGGCCCAAAAAAACGAGGTTTAGCGTAGATGCCTTATTTAGCCTGATCTAGCCTGATCTGGCCTGATTCCTGCCTGATTTTTGCCTGTTTTTTGCCAAGACTTTTCTTTGATTACGTTTGTTCTGGTCTGTAAATGTATGTCAACCACTATTTCTCTACCCTTCTACTATATCTATTGTAATTATATGTAATATAGCTTAATATAAGCTTATTATACTATATTACCCTATATTACCCTAGATTTGGGGTAGCTAGATATAGTATAAAGTAGTAATTTTTGAAGTGGTTGATTTACTATATTAGTGGGGGAGATATATATATGTAGAATATGCAGCTTCACCACCTTACTAACTATATATATTGTCTTCACCCTAACCACCCCTTATTATTTTTAAAAAATGATAAAAAATTAAAGAAAAATAAGATATAGCCATAGAGTTCATATGAATCATACCTTTAAAAAGCTGACTTTATATTACCTATATATAATATATAAGGTATTTAAAGTGGTATTTTACGCCTCTAAAACCAATATTTCTGCATATTTTATGAAAAATACACCATAACTTTATGCCCAAAAAAATGGGCCCAGATGGGGGCCCATATGGGCCCGGGCCCATTTCAAAGGCAAATGGGCCCCCATTTTTGGGCCCAACCCAACCCAGCCCATCGGGCCCAGCCCATTTGCCGAAGCCTAGGTTCTACCGCTGGCTCGTGCGGTTCCCTGACCTGGTTTCGAGTGCTTTTAAGTTCTTTCTTTGTGCTCTTCTCCTAGGTGCTGGAGTGCGGTCTTCTCGTCTCTGTATGTTATCTTAGGGAGTTATGTCTGCGTTAATGGCGCGTCGTCTAGTTATTAACTTGGTTCGCGAGTCTAGGGTTCTTTCATCTTTAAATAGCACTTCTTCTTCTTAGATGCTTCCTGGTAGGCCGGCTCGTCTTGCTGCTTCTTCATCTTTTCTAGTATGTAATAGAGCTATTAGTTGCCTGGTATTATGGTCGAGGTCCTTAACTGGTACCTTTTCTTCTTCTTAGATGCTTTTCCGCGCTCGGCTCGTCGTGTGTGAGTTATAACTCCTTTCTAGAGCTCTTTCTGCTCGGCAATATTAGCTTGCCCTATAGCTCTTTTCTTACTCTCTCTAGGAGCCACTTCTTCGCTGTTTTGCCCGCCTAGTCGGTTCTTTAACTACCTATCTAAGGTTTTCTAGGCGGGCCCCCTAGAGAGATATAAAGGAAAGAGGAAGAGAAGAAGGAAAATTTTCTTTAAATAGTCCTGATTTTCGTGAATTTTTCACTAAGTTAGTGACTATTTATCTTGTCTTCTTATTCTTGATCTTTCCTTATGCTTCTATGGTTATTCTATTCTTCTTTATTCTTTTTGCGGGTCTTGATTCTTATGCTTTCTTAAAGATATCTAGTGTGGTAGTGTTCTTGACGTTAGAATAAGGTTCCTATATGTTTTCTATGTCTCTATAGCCCTTCTATTAGACTAGGTATTATAGGCCTCTTCTAAGCTTCTTCTTGCTTAGGATCTTCTCGATTTCCTATTCGTCTTATCTATTGACTTTAACTAGGTCTAGCCTTTCTTCGCCTCTTATAGGCTTGCCTTTATATAGTTCTAGTATTAATATATACTATACTAGGTGGATCTTCTAGAATATAGGCGTTAAGATAAGCTTATACGCCTATTTCCCGATCTTTTTCCTAATCTAGAATGGGCCTATATAGCGGTAGTTAAGCTTTAGGTATAGTCTATCTAAGTTAAGGTGTTTTCCCTATATAAGTACCTAGTCCCCTATTTAGAGCTTAAGGTTCTTATGCTTCTTATTATAGCCTCTTTTTATAGCTTCCTTCGCTTATTATAGGCGTTATATAAGTGTCTTTCTAACTTCTTATATCTCTTTAATCTATGACCTTATATCCTTATATTTATCTCTAGGGTATTCTTTAACCGTTCCTTATAGGTCTAGTTTAAAGTTTATAAGTGCTTCTATAGGCGATATCCTAAGTATGCTATGCTCTATTCTATTATAGATATATTATGCTAGTAGTAACTATCTAGCCTAGTTATCTTAGTGCTAATTAATATAGTTTCTTAAGTAGTACTTAATTATCTAGTTTTATCGTTCTATCTACCCGTCTATCTATGGGTAATATGCTATTAATAGATAATATTCTATTACTAGATAGTAGTAGAATATTAACTAGAATTTACTAGTAAAGACGCTTCCTCTATCACTAATAAGGTTCTTTAGTATATCTAGCTATAGTATGAGTTTATTATAGAACGTCTATACTAGTATTATAGCGTTAATGTCCTTTCTATATAGGATATAGACTAAAAATTTAGTAAATAGGTTAACTACTACTAGTATAGCGTCATAGACTTTCCTATCCTACTTCACTAGTAGTAGTCTTATAATAAAATCGTAGCTCTACTATTCTATAGGCCCTTATAGAACTAGTAAGGGTTTAAGGGAACTATATAGTAGGTATCTATATATAGCGTTCTTCTAATATATATTATATTCTTATATATATTCTATGACTTACTTAGTTATTCTATACTAGTAGTACTTTACTTTTATTACTACTATAGTTCTTCTTACTCTATAATACCTTAATTAGGGGTTATTATAGTATATTCTTATAATTTCTATAATTAGTATAGGATCTTAAGGGATAAAGACCCTCTAATTAAACCTAAGGAGTCCGTCGCTTATATAACTCTATAGTATACCTTTATATCTCGCTATTCTACTTATATACTCTATCTTCTAGAGGACTTTTAAGTATTATATATCTATTCTCTATATATTTTTAATATAGTTAACTATAGAGACCCTAAGGTTCGCGTTAAGTATACCTTCTCTTATAGACGCTACTATTACTTCTACTTAGGTAGAGAGTTATTCTAGACTAACTATTCCACTAGCTTTAGGGTACTTATCTAAGCCTTTTTATTAATTAGCTTAGGGCCTAAGCGTCTTTAGCTTAGCTTATATGACTATTATTCATAAGGTAGCTATTATTATGCTCTTATTCTTATTCCTAGGGGTCTATAGACTCTCCTATAGCCTTTATAATAGCTTACTATTATAGATATAGTCTATACTTACCTACGTATCTTATCTATAGTTAGGTCTTTAACTAAGGGTATCTACTAGGTTCTTCGCTCTAGGGTTATATTTAATAATAAAGTTATATATAGCGAGTTTCTCTACCTATCTTACTTATCTTCTACTTAGCTCCTTTATTATTATAAAGGGTCGTAGGTTTATATAGTCTATTAGGACTTCGACGACGTGCTTATTCCCTTCTAGGTAGTGTCTCTATATCTTAAAAGCTTTA